GCAAACAAGAAAAATCCAGTATCTGCAAGCCCATTTGTTCCTAACAAAAATGCAATTTAAGAAAAGAAAGTTTGTTTGTTTGTTTTGTGTAATGTAAAATAAGTCTGGAAATAAAATATAGCTGGCAAGACCACTTATTGACGCCTGCTTGTTTGCTTGTTTGATTAAAAGTTAAATGTGTAATTAAGAAAATCAAGAGTAGTTGCTGGAAAGGAGAACATAGGCTTTCCACAAAGAATTCATTTGGACATTGAAACAATAGTCGAAGCACTTTCATTTCGGTCCACAGACATGTTATTGCTATTTAGAAACATAAAGGGAGTATGAGATTGCCCACCATGTAGTTAAAGAAGATAAAAGATAAAAAGAAATCATCATAACACAACTTGTCTTGTATAAAGGAAAAATTTCAATTAACACCACTTTAAGGCTCTTAGGGTTCTTTTTATGTTTCTGGAGTCTCCGCTCAGCTCAGGCATGTGTTTCATCTCATCGAGCTGGCTTTGACTGATGGGACAGGAACACATGGTAATGTGACATCCACTCTATTTGTGGATAGAGAAAATGCATGCTTTTCTGGTTGCTGGGCAATTTGACTTAGAATGAAACCAAAACTAAAAGTAGAAACAAAACCCACTGCAACTCATCAAGACCCTGCTGGACAGAGCAGAAGTGCCCACGGGATTTCCAAGGCTGCAAATGTTATGGACGTGGACGGCCACGTCTTTCTCCCATGGTGTAACTGATGGGCTTGAACCACCGAACTATGGATAAGCAGCCAAATGCTTAACCACTGTGCCACCAGGTCTCCTGGATTTAGCAATCCCCAAGCAAATACCAATAAGCATATAATCATGCTATATTTGGGGAGAAAGCCTGGCCAGACCCCCAAATCTTTCAGGGAAACATGTCGCCTAGCAGTTTGCTGTATCTGCTCTTTGGTTTGTTGCAGAGTGAGACAGCTGTTGGGCCCACTGTCATCCCACTCTTGGGGTCCAGCTTAAAGGTCACTGAGTGACAGAGAGACAGGGCTTCCTTTTGAAGCCTGGGGCATTTTAGACTTCCCAGGGCTTGGGCATCATGGGTGCGCTCTCCACAGACCTGATGGTCCCTTGATGAAGAAGGCCCAGTCCTTTAATCCCTTTCACTGGGCTACTGATTTGCATATTGGTTAGTGCGTGCCCTGGGGCATCCGTGTCCAGCCTGCTGGCAGGGTCCGTTTGTTACTTTAGACTTGATAGCTTGCTGCTGTAGATTCTTCATGGCTCATTCAGGAAGGAAGGAATGAACCTGAGGGTCCAGGGTTTCACGCCACACAGGAAGATAATTTGACAAAAGATCCCCCGAAGCATTCACTGAAGAAAGGTATTTAAAGCACAACCATAAAGACAAGAGGGCAGGCATTTTTCAGAGAGGAAACATACCTAGAAAATGAGACGCTACCTAACAACAATAGTACTTATCCTAATGGTCCTCACCCTGACTGAGCTTTATTGCACTTAACCTGTGTCCACCTGTGGCATGTTGGTGACGTCACCTTGCTGAAAAAACGATCTGACTGGTATTCCGAGTCCGAGCAAGGTAAGTCATGGTGGACAGATTTCGGCACAGCGTCCAGACCAAGACATCGACGACAGGTGATCTGATATAATTGAACAAGATGAGCCCCTCAGGTGGGTGGACACTCCAAGTCTCACTCGGGAAGAGCTGCCCCCTCCAAGGAAGACAGGGATGGCGTAAAGCTTTGGGATCTGCATTTGCCGATGTGGCATGACGCAACCTGGGAAGATAGCGCTGCAAACCTCCGCGAATCATCAGAACACAGGCTGTCTGAACTATGAGTCTAAGAGAGCTAGAAGCGCTAAAAATAATGAAACAGAAGAGATAAAAGATCGATATCTTAGGTATTAGTGAGCTGAAATGGACTGAGAGTAGCCATTTAGAAGCAGACAAGCAGGGGGCCCACTCTGCCAGTAATGAAGCAATGAAGGAGGATGGGCACAAATTCATCACCAAAAAGGGTATTTCAAAATCTACCCAGAAGTAGAATTCTGTCAGCAATCGGACCATATGCATACACCTACAAGGAAGAACAGTTAGCCCAGCTTTTATTCAGTTGGCTCACCAATTACTAATGTCAAACGTGAACCTTTTGGAGAGACTTCAGCAACATTTGCAGTCTGAAATGGATCACGAACATAATGAAGATGCACTGATAAGTACTGTTGACTGGAAGGAGAAAGTTCAAAACAAAGACAGAGGAGCCGTGGCGTCGGTAATAGAAGCAATGCTGGGCTCACACACAGAATTTTGTAAGACCAATGACTTCTTCATGGCAAACACTTGCCTTTAACAACATAGATGGTGACTACGTACATGGACTTCACTGGAGAGAAATCGTAGGGATCAGATGGACTATATCCGTGGAGAAGCTCAATATCGTCAATTCAAAATTGGCAGGAGCACATTGGCAGGGAACGTCAAGCTAGATTCGGAGAACAGAGGATGAGGGCTATTCCTGCTGCTCTCAGGTGGTCAGCTGACAGCAAAGAACAGCAGAAGGATAGTTACCTGTGTTTTATGCAGACAGTTAACACTGTGTCCCCAAAGAAATGATGTACAACACTGTGAAGAGTGGGAATCCACAAACTGTCATTCTGCTCCTGGGGAACCTGAATGGAGACCAAGAGGCCGTCGTTCAAGTTGAACAAGGGAATACTACATGGTTTAAAGTCAGAACAGGTATGCATCGGGATTGTATCTTTTCACCATATTTATGTAGATAATCTGTGTGCTGAGCAAGTAATCTAGGGTTCTGGGATATATGAAGAAGAATGATTATTAGTATTGGAGAAAGGCTCATTAACAACTTGGTATGCAGATAACACAACCTTGCTGGCAGAAAATGAAGAGGAGTTGAATTATTTACTGATAAAGACTACAAATTTCAGCATGAATTATATCTCAACATAAAGAAAACAGAATTCTTCACAATTGGTCCAAGAAGCAACATCATGATAAACAAAGAAAACATCAAAGTGGTCAAAAATTTCATTTTGCTTATATCCACAATCAATACTCATGGAAACAGCAGCCAAGGAGTCACACAAAGTACTGCCTTAGGCAAATCTGCTGAACAAGACTGATTTAAAACGTTAAAAGCAAAGAGGCCACTTTGAGCACTATGGTGCATCTGACCTAAGCCACGGGAGCCCCGATGGCGTAGTGGCATAGTGGTCATGTGTTGGAGTGTTAACTGCAAGGTCAGCAGTCTGAAACGACCAGCCACTCCCTGGGAGAAAGATGGGGCATTCTGCTCCTGGAAAGTGTCAAGAGTCTGGGAACCTTACAGGGGCAGTTCTGCCCGTCCTGCAGGGTTGCTATGAGTCAGCATGGACTGGGAGGGAGTGAGTTTTTGAGTTTTCATGTACATGAGGAAGCTGGGCAATGAGTAAGGAAGACTGAAGAGCTGATCCATTTGAATTAGGATGTTGATGAAGAATGCTGGCTCTTTCATGAACTATCAAAAGAACTCAAAATCTGCCTTGCAAAAGTACAGCCTGAATGCTTCGTAGAAGGGTCACTGGCTGACTCATAGCGACCCTGAAGGACGGTGAGATTTTATTCATGCACTTTGCTTGTGTTACCAGCACAGACTAATCCCTGGGGAAGGATATACTGCTTGACACATTCTAGGATCAGTCAAAAGGAGGAAGACCCTCAATGGATAGATTGTCACAAACAGCTACAGGAGACTCAGTCACAGCAGTGGTTGTGAGGGTGGTGTGGGATCAGACCGGGCAATGCTTTGTTCTGTTGTACACAGGGTAGCTATAAGATTGGAATGGATTCAACAACACTTAATAACAATCATAACAACACTGTAGTAATCTAGACATTTTCTAAAGATTATCTCACTCAATGGTCATACTGGTCTTTCAAGGCAATCTCTACTGATTTCCATAATGTAAAGGTGGGGCAAGGATTTGGGGAGAGATCAAGTTGCTTGTGCAAGGCCACACAGCCCATGAAGCAACACTACGAGTCTTAAAGCCAAGTTTGCAATAGTACAGTAGCGGTCCAGAATTCCCAGTCAGCCTTTTTGAACCAATATTCAGAAACAAGGAAAATCTGATCTCAGCCAAAGGAAAGAGAAATGCATGAGTCTATCAAAAGAAGCTATCTCTGACCACAGACAAAGGACCAATAGAAGGGAAAGAAAAGGGTAACAGCTCTTTAGCATCCCTACTCAGGTGCAGCAATCAGGAACACAGTCATTAGGTGAAGAATCTGAGAACCAACCAGACACTACTTCAGATATGTCATTGTGAGCTTCTATGACTGCTGTCATCTGTTTTGGAGCCAGCTCTAATTCACAGCGACCTTAAATCTTCCATCATGAGCTCTCCCACATTGTTCAATAAATCAACAAATAGAATTAATATTATGCACATGCATGAATGATTTCACTTAACCACTGTCACCCTTAGAGAGCATGTGGGGCACTGACTCTTAGTGAATGGCTTGTCCTACAACTTCTACTGTCCTACCTGATTCCCTAAACAATTACAGCAACTGATTATTTTCAGTTTCCAAAGAGAAATACTTGGACCTAACTAGACAAATTCATCAACTGACCCTAAATTTAATTTTTCCCATTCTTACTAAGAAAAACAATTGATTTCATATATGATGTTAAGCTAATGACTCATTCTACATACATCACAGGAAAAATAAAACAGCAATTGTACCAGTTACCCTACAAGTTCTCTCTTCAGACGCCAGTTAATACTGTGGGCCTACAAAGGTCATATTGTAGCAATCAATTCTCTCCACTTTATATTCCAAAAGACTCACCAAAGATGCTGGATAAAGTTAGAAAAAATACTCATAGCTTTGTTCAGTGGGCATAAAGAGCTCTCTTGGCTGGTAAGAATACCATGGTTATTTTTTACCTTATGACAGTTTTTAGGAGCTGGTCAGAGAGAGAAGTTACTCACATTCTCCTTGTCAGGAATCCCTAGAAGAAGAAGAGAGAGAGAGATCATGAGTCATAAGATCAACTTGTAAGATCCATCATTTGCTGGACCAAACCAGGCAACATGTGGGTGCTTTTCTAGTTATGTTTCAGAAAAAGAAAGAAATTACATTATGTTGCTTAGGAAAAAGCACACTTAAAAACTTGTAACATGAATACATTAATGAATCAGGATGAGGATTTGTGCCCCAACAGCAAAACATTGTGATTATTTTGCTTCACAGCCACACATTTTTCTAGAGGTATAAATGCATTACTGATTTATTCACAACACTGTTAGACATGGATTTGTTTACCTTTGGTATCAGGGATTTTGAACATATATATCAGCTCGAACGTAACTGGTATGATATTGCTGCATTACGCACAATCTCACACTGCCTCGGGGATTTGAGCCCAGGGGCACTCCTTGCAGGAAAACCAGCAGAACATTACTTCTACTCTGAGCAAAGAAAATCCCTGCTGACACCAAGTCAACTGGCTGTTTCTAGGGGCATCTCAGTTATCTGAGCTAAAAAGCTAGTCAACCACCCGCTCACTCAATTGTTCAATCATTTACAAACGTCTCATGAACCTCTACTAGAGGTAAAGCCGGCCTCCTTTTCCCTTCTTCTGGCCTGCTACCTCTGATTCACATAACGAGAGTGGCCACACTGGAAGTCCAGACCTCAGCAGATTTTGGTGTCCCCAGTAAAGTAGGCACAAGTGGCCTTGCATTGAAGGGACAGAAACACCGGCAGTTTCATGTGCTACCTGCACCTACCTTCAAATACTGGAGCAGGGTAAATGGTTTGCAATGTAAAAGTACCGTATGTCCAACCTCTGAGTGAAAAAAGCAGGAAGGAATGACAATATTGGGATTAAAGAACTGAGTATTCCTGCTATAGGCAATACAGTATGCAGGAGGGGCAAGAATGGAAAAAACCATCTTTGGAAATGCTCTTTAATGAATACTTTGAACACCACTAGGATAGAGCCAAGAAGAAGGAGGACAAAGGATTATTCTTTGAAAGAGAGAATGTTAATGAACATGTTTACCATCACTTCTCAGGTCTATCAGAAAGATCCCAGACCTGCTGGCCTGATGTCAGTCCCTTGAAATTTAACTCGAATCTATCCATCCAACCAAGCTAGCAACCAACAGCCAGTGGAAAAGTCAAGTTGACTGTATCTTGTTGTTGCTCTTCGGTGCCATCAGGGCTGATTCACAACACGACAAACCACTGCTGGGTCCAGAGCCATCCTCACACTCGTGACGTGAGCCCATTGTTACAGCCACTGTCTGTCCATTTCCTTTTTGGCTGTCCTTCTGCTCTACCAAACACAATGTCCTTCTCAAGGGACTGGTTTCTCTGGATATCGTGTCCAAAGTCCGTCTCATCATGCTGGCTCCTAAGGAGCATACTGGCCGGCTTCTTAATTCAAATGCACCGACCCTTCCTCAGTCTTCCTTAGTCGAGGCCAAACGTTCACACGGAGATGTTGATTGTTTCAAGAGATTTTTATAAAAGATGCCATCGGTCTAGTTGATTCTGACTCACGCAATCCCCAAAGTACAACTGCGTCCACAAGGTTTTCATTGGTGCATTTTTCCAGAGGCAGTAGATCATCAGACCTTTCGAGCAAGATGCCACTGGGTGGACTTGAACCTGCAACCCTGGCAAACAGCAGTCACGTTCATTAATCTTTAATCTTTCGTATCTCCCAGAGGCCCTCATGTGAAGAGATACAGGGGTGTAAACAATGTTTCTTTTCTAGGAGGTCCAATATGATCAATGCATCGTTACACGACACTGTATCTGAGTGGAAGCCATTTAGGGTACTTGCAGAGAAATTATACTAGAAAGGTCATCTGAGGCCAGACTGCAAAAATTTGAAAGTTGAGATAAGGTGTGGACAATCTAACATTATCACTTTCTTTGTGAGGAAAGGGAAACTCCTTCGAAGTTCTGAGTAAAGGAGTTATATGATTAGGGGAAAGGAGGGTTAAAGGACTATTCCAAATTAAAAGCTACTTAAGGCATAAAAGCCAGATATAATCACATGGTCCTTGGTGGGAACCCAGTTTGAGTAATTAGGTGTAAAGCTATTCCACTGGGGAAATTTAAATATAGACTGGCTAATGGATATTTTTAGGAGCATGATCTGCATGGTCGTCTGTTCAAAACCACCAGCACCTCCTCGGGAGGAAGGCTGGGCTTTCTACTTCTGTGAACAGTCACAGTCTCGGAAGCCCCCAGGGTGGCTCATGGACTCATGGCAGCGCATAGTAGTAGTGATGGATGTTCTCAAGG